ATAGTTATCAGAATAATCCAAGTGAGAAAAGAGCAATGAGAGAGCTTTTGGCTATGAACAGGGCAGGATATTCTTGATTCAAAACCTGACTCCTTCCACAAGAATGGCTGACAATGAGTGTCAGAGCCCACAATGCAGCAAGGAAGACAATGTCTTCCACTCTCTAATGGGTGTAAAGTGAGCAGAACTGAAGATTCAAGCATGGGACTCACCAGAATGAATCCAGTGGAAGTTGTAGGCCAGGCTTCAGGATATAGGTCTTCCAATCTTGCTTGCTGTCATTTGCTTTCTCCTTTTCATAACTTATTTAAGGCTGCCCTATTTTCCTTCCCATTTAATTTAGAAGTAGTAGAGTTCAAGGTTATCATTTAGCGGAGAGTGGATTTCCCATATATTTAATGGTATAAGTTTTATTTTAGGGGAATGTATCTCCTCGGTCGGAGTAATTTAGGGGGATGTTTGTTATCCATAGTAGAGTTGACTTTTCTTGCAGAGAGTAACTAATGGGCAATGTTACAGGTCTTTGAACTGGAGAAATTCATACTGATCAATCAGTGAGCCTGTATCGAGTGCTTGCTATGTGCCAGGTTCTGTGCTAAGTTTTAGGGATACAAATCCAACCAATAAAAAATAATCCTTCATCTGAAGGAAGTTATCTTCTGATAGGGAACACAAGTAGATAGAGAAGTATATGATTTATAGAAGTATCAGAATGTCTAGAGAATAAATAGAAATAATTACAAAATATCCAAATACTTTGGGCAGGGCCCTAGCGGCTAGAGAGATTAAGAAAGACTTCACATAGAGAAGGTGGGGTTTGCACTGTGTCTTGAAGAGAGGGATTCTGTAAGGAAGTAAGAAGTAAGAAGGAAGATGTTGGGGCAGTTAGGTGGTGCAGTGGATAGAGCACCAGACCTGAAGCATGGAGGACCTGAGTTCAAACCCGTTCTCAGACCAAACACTTAACACTAGCTGTGTGACCCTGGGTAAGTCACTTAAGTGATGCCGCAATAATTCCAGGTAAAGCCTCTGAGAAAAAAGCGTCCTGGCCACAGAGTGTGCAGGAACAATCGGAGGAAATGAAACAAGCTAGGGAGGAAATAGTGGTAAGGGAAATGGACATCATAGAACAGACAGTGGGGTGATAATATTGGCCCGAAGTCCATTGATTAGGTAGTACCAGCACCAATCAAATGCAGAAAAAGGAAAAACTAGTTTATTATCCTCAGAAGGCAGGCTAAACTGAATGCTTACTAATAAGTTAGTGAGCTCCCAGCATCATTTTAAACTACCTTACATAGGATTTGACTACCTAAGCAGTATAAGCACAATAAACTCTTACAGGTGGCAGAAGAAGATAAGGAGGGGTAAATAAGAACGTGGCCAGTTAAAATGGGAGCTGGGGTTGAGATCTCAAACTTCAGCAGGGAACCATATGCTGTGCTTGTAGCTTCAAGCAAATGGGGACAAGAGGTTCAAGATGGTGCCTGATCCAGAGTTTTTCACATCACGATGGAAGACAAACAGATTCAGCAATTGCATGATGTCACCCAGCTAAGAGGTGCCTGAGGCCCTTCTTTCCTGCCCTAGTACTCTATGAACTGTGCCAACCAGTTGGCTCTAAATTTTAGAACTGGACACCTATTAGATTGCAAATGCCCTGAAAATTAGAATGGACCAGAAAGAAAACAACAACTCATGAAGGCAACCAGAAATATCAAAACAATATTTAAAAATTGAAGAAAAAAAGGAAAAAAATATAAAAAAATAACAAAAAACTGATCTGGAAAAGATGTCAGAGAGAGACAATTTAAGAATTATTAGACTACCTGAAAAACTACAATCAGAAAAATGTCTGGATACCATATTTCAAAAAATCACAAATTAAAATGGGTATTTTGTGCCCCACAATTTGACTAGCAGTAAAATAGTCTATTTTTTGTTAATCTAGGAATTTCATATTTTTAAGTATTCATCCATTTCCTCTAAGTTATCAATTTTGTTGGCATATAATTGGGCAAACTAGTATTTGATAGTTTATTTTTAAATTGTGAGTTCTCCTTTTCAAATTTTGATATAAGCAATTTGGTTTTCCCTTCTTTTTAAGAATCAGGTTAGGCTAACTTTATTTTGATAGTTTTCTTCTGACAAAACCAGCTCCTAGTTTCATTTATCAATTCAGTGATCTTTTTGCTTTCAATTTTATTAATTTTTTCTTTAATTTTCAGAATTTCTACATTCTTTAGTTGGGGATTTTTAATTTGTTCAAAAACATTTTTAATTGAATACTCAATTCATTTCTTTGCTCTTTCTTTTGTTGATGAAAGTGTTTATACATATATACATACATATAGATACACATATATGTAATTTCCCCTCAAAACTGCTTTGACTGAATCCCATAGATTTTGTTATGTTGTATTATGTAACATGTAACAAAGAGAGAAAAAAAAGGCTGCTTGTTACAGTTGGTTATACAAAGGAAGAAGGGTATACTTGTTAAGAAGAATGTGTATCACTAGTTACAGGAGACAGAAAAAGAACGTGTCCTTGTTAGTCTAGCTATCTGCACTAAACGCAAATAGCTTGTGCCACTACTAGTGAGACAAGATAAAGGAGAGGAGTACAAATTCTTGGGCTAAGTCCTTCTTTGTAGCAATTAGGGAGGAAAGAAGACACTGAAGGAAACCAGCTATTGTGTTAACTGGTCCTGCAGTACATAAAAGGGTCATATATAGCAAAAATGGAAAGGATAGAACAAAATGGAGTTAGTTATGTTAATTCTTAACAGACCACTGAGCTCTTAAAAATTCACTTTTCTTAAAAATTTACTTTCAACAAAGAAATAGACAGTTTTCAAAGGAAAAAAATCTAAACTATCAACAATCATATAAAAATGATATAAATTGTGAATAATTTAACTAATGTAAATTAAAATCACTTTGAAGAAATGAGACAAGCATTTATTAAGCCTCTATTATGTGCCAGACATTCTACAGATATTTTCTCATTCACCCTGGGAGGTGAGTGTTATTATTACCTCATTTTTGTCATTCAGTCATTTTTCAGCTATGTCCTACCCTTCATGACTTCATTTAGGGTTTTTTTTGGCAAAGGTGCTGGAGTGGTTTGCCATTTCCTTCTCTAGCTCACTTTACAGATGAGGAAACTGAGGCAAACAGGGTTAAGTGACTTGCCCAGGATCACACAGCTAGTAAGTGTCTGAGACTGGATATGAACTCAGAAAGATGAGTCTTTCTGACTCCAGGCTTGTGCACTCTGGCGCCACCTACCCGTGTTTTTTTGTTTCTGTTTTGTTTGTTTTCTGTTTTTTGTTTTTAGCATGAGGAGACTAAGGCAGAGATTGTGTGACTAGTTAGTAGATGCCTGAAGCCACTCTGTTTTATCCCAGCACCTGGAGACTCTTCCTCACACGTATCAGACTGGCAAAGATGACAAATGAGGAAAATTATAGACATTGGAGGAGCCGTGGGGAAGCAGGTACACAGTGCCTCTTATTGGAGCTGTCGCCTACCTGGTCCAGCCATTCTGGAAAGAAATTTGGAACTGTGCACAAAAAGTTATTAAACTGTGCACACTTTTTGACCTGGCTACACATACCCCTGCTAGGGTATAGACCTCAAAGAGATCAAAGAAAGAAGAAAAGGATCTATATGTAAATTTTTTTTAATTATGGAAGAGATTTTTGAGGTAGCCAAAAATTAGAAACTAAGGGGCTGCATTGAAGGATTGGCTAAGCAAAGGGTGGTAGAAGAACAGACAGCGGGGTGCCAAAATTGGCCTGGAGTCTATTGGCTAATCGTCAATCAAATGCAGACAAAGGAAAAGCTAGTTCACTACTCTAGGAGGGCAGGCTAACCCCAAACCCTTAATTCTGGTGCCTTCATTCTGGCTATTTGTCCTGTCTATACCTTGCTTTGTTTGTGAGTATGTTGGCTCTCCCTTTAGATTGTAAGCTCCTTGAGGTCAGGGAACGTCTTTTGTCCCTTTCTGTGTCTCCAGCACTTAGCACAGTGCCTGACACATAGTAGGCATTTAACTTTTTCCGATCGATAAACCAACAAAGCCCCAAGCATCAGTTTAAGCTACTTTAATGCATGTGGTGCAATATTATTGTGCCACAGGAAAATGATAAAATGGACGATTTCAGAGGACACTGGAAAGATCTTTATGAAGTGAAGCAAAGGGATAGGAGTAGAACTGGGAGGACAATTTCCATTACAGAGAACGACTTTGAAGGACTCCAGAACTCTGATCAGCACAGTGATAACCCTCTATTCCAAAAGAATGAGGATGAAGCCCACCATTCACTTCCTGATGGAGAGCAGATGAACGGAAAATTCGGACGCGTGCATTTTGGACCTGGCTAATGTGGGGATTTGTTCTGTTGGACCAAGTAGCGAGGCATGAGGAAATTTGGAGAGTGTTTTGTTTGGTTTTGAATTTGCTCATTGGAAAGGGGGATGGGGGAAGGGCAGTTTAATTTTTCAAATGCTTAATACTTGAACAAACAAACAGACAAAAGGCGGCGTGGCTCTGCTCAGAGAGCAGCAGCTGAGGCCCAGGGTCTCCATCCTCTGTCTACTGAATTCCAGAAATCTGACGGTGGCTACGGGGCAGGCGTCTGAGGTCCTGACTCTGGAAGGGTTGTGCCAAAAGGTGAGGCAGAGCTTGGGCACTTTGCTGCTTGTTTGTGTAGGACCCCGAGACAGGGCAGAGCCAGTAGGACCTCTCCACCTGGCAGCAGGTTTGGAGGCCAAGGGCTCTCCACTCTGGAACTTAGAGGATGGGATTGGAGAAAGGGGCCAATTCCTGGGCCTCAGGGGCGGGGCGGGATGCAGGCCCACTGAGGCCCCAGGCTCCTTGAGTTCAGCCCACATGGCCCCACGTTTGCAAGCTCAGCTAGGGTCTCCTCTTCCAGGAAGCCTTTGGCTGGATGCTGGAGGCGATCGCTGGTCTTCTAGGGACCCAGAGCAGGGAGAGAAGGGCCTGGCCCAACCCCTCGGGAGAGCCAGGACCCGCCCCCCAGGCCGGACCTTGGGCCCCGCCTTGACTCTGCTGCCCTTTCCTGCTATCAGGCCCTCCCACTTCTGACCTTGTGGTGAGTCTCCCCCAGGGCCGCCAGGAGCACGGGCAGGCACCCAGCCTCAGTTTCCCCATAGGCCCCTGGTCTTCCCCATAAGGACCCAGGCATCTTGGCTCCCCCTTCCCTCCCTCCCCCCCCCGCCCTCCAGCCTCTCTACTTCAGTGATCAGATTTCTGCCCCTCTCCTCCCAGTTCCCCGCCTCGGCTTCCTTTCCGCTAGGGCCTTGTCCTCGTCAGCACCCCGGGAGCCGACTTCCCAGCCTCGTCCCCAGGGGCCTGGGAGGGACGCAAGACTCCAAAGTCCCCGATCCGAGTTGCACCACAAGGACTCAGGAGACCCCTCCCCCAAGGAAGCCGCCCGCTTTGAGCCTCGCCCCCACCAGCCCCGCCCCTAGAAAGCCGCCCCCTCCACAGGATTCCAGGACCTGGGCTTCCGCCCTTCAGCCCCTACACCCCGCCCCTCAGGACCCCGGCCCCTAATCTCCAGGGCGAGACGTCCAACACAGAGCCCCAGGCACCCTCCCGTCCCACCCCCCAGCACCCACAGGCACCCAAACCGTCGGCTTCCACAGCTCCAACTTCAACCCAGGGACCCAAGAGTCCTGCCCCCCATCAAAGGGGGCCCCACACCTCCTTCAGCTTTAGCACAGAGACCCCGTCCTGCTGCTTCTCCAGCACCTCTCCTGGCACTCAGGAGGACTTGTCCGACCCCCACTGCACTGTTCTAGTGCCCTCCTGGTCCCCTTCTTTCACAGGACCCAGGGTTTCTTTCCCAGGTCCTCCCTCTCCTAACCTCAGACTTCTTTCCTCTTGCCACTCCCAAGCCTACCCATCCCGAAGTCCTCCCCATCCCCTGCCTTCCCTAACTATCCACCCTCCTTCCCAGATCAAACAGTCAGGTGCCTAGAGATCCTGTGTGAGAATGATGGAGATCGGGGAGAGAAGGAAGGCAGAGAAAAGAAATCTGATTCAGAAGGACCCAAAATCAAGGTTGTGAGATGAAATTATCCGTTATCCATTGATTAGGTACCTCTGTCAATCACTGATCTACCGGGCAGCGTTATGGCTTTCACAACATTATACCAGCCAGTTACTGCACTTTGATAGTAAGTTTCAAGCTGCATTATATGGCTTTTAGTTACGTAAACTGGGTGAGTACGATGGAATTTCAAAGAGCAAATAAGGGAAGATGATTCACACATCAAAGGACAGAAGGCTGAAGGGCAAGATACATATCGGGTAAGACAGAAAACTACAGATAACTCCTGGGCTACAATTGACCTCTCAGCTAGACTTTGCAGACCTGCCAGCTATGTGAAGGGCTTATCTTAAGTAAATAAACGGCAGTGAGAAAATTAAGCCAGAAATTCTCTTCTCACAGTTGTTTTTGTTTAGACCTTCTTAGTTTCCAGCTTGCTACCTTTTTCTTTTGGTCTGAGGACAGGGCTGGGGGCTCCAAAATTTCTTGGGACCTCCCAGCCTTTATTGTTTGTGGGGATGGCCAACCTCCTGCCTGGGAGGGCAAAGGCAAGACCCCTCCTCCTCAAGGATCCTTATCCCACTCCAGCTCAGCCAGCACAGGATCCTGTCCTGGCCCAAGACAGAAGCATGGAGCCAAAAGGAAGGAGCCCGTCTCAGGTAAGCACGGACAGTCCATACACTTGATAAACCAGTCAGTCGGTCAATAAAGCTTCAAACTGGAACGTTTCCAGAGACATGAGAAAAGCCAAAGAGGATGGTATACTAAACAATGTCCATTATGTATACATTGTTTCATTTAAACATACATCCTAACTTTAGTACTACCAACAGTGCCTCCTTCTGAACTTTGGTATCTCTTGTATAACTTTCATTTGACACTGGGTTTGCATGTGACATAATGATAATAATACTAGCTGATGTTTTTATAGTACTTAGTATGTGCCAGGTGCTTTGTAACAATTATCTTATTTGATCCTCATAACAACCTTGGGAGGTAAGAGTTATTATCCTCATTTTACAATTGAGGAAACTGAGGCAAATAGAAGTTAAGTGACTTGCCCAGGGTCACACAGCTAAGTATTTTAGGCTGAATTTGAACCGAGGACTTCTTGACTCCAGACCCAGACCTCTGTCCTCTGTACCACCTAGCTGCTCCTGAATCTAAAACCATCGACCTCTATTATATATAAATGGGGGCTTTCCCCCCATCTCTAGCATTCCTCCATATAACTTCTTGCCCTCCCATTTTTATTTAAAGTTCTCTCTTGTAGAAACTAAGTACAATCAAGCAAAACTATGTTACACTTTAGTCTTATCTTGAAATGCTTTGACTGCAGTGCTCAAGTCTTTTCTAGCTCTTTTTCTTTACAGTGTTGTAGTTCGTATACAGATGTTCTGGTTGTGTTCACTTCACCCTGCCTCAGTTCACACAAGTCTTCCCGGGTCTTTCTGAATCCCTCCCATTCACCATTTTTATTTCATTCATAGACCAGATTTTATTCAGTCAATCCCCACTTGATTGGCTCATACTTTGTTACTGGTTTTGGAATATTTTGGCACATGAGTCCTTTTCCTCTGTCTTTGATCTTGTTGGGTCAGCAAACATTTATTCAGCCCCAATTAAGTTGGATCAAGTTTCGATAACACAGCATCTCAGAGGTTGCAGGGACTTCAGCAGTCACTTTCCTATCCATGCCTGAAGGAAAATACCCTCTACCACACACCCCATCAGTCCATAGAGATATCCAATGAGGGGGAACCCATCTTCTTCTTTGGGCAACTATTAGGAAGGTTTTCCTTCAAGTCTTAATTTGCCTCTTTCCACTACCCCTTCCCCCATCACTTGTGGTTCTGTGCTTCTGCCAAGTCTTTCAAAAATTTGAAGACAGATACTATTCATATCCTTTTTAACATCGGTTGATATAATCCTTTAAAATTATTTTTGTCAGTATAATGTATTGTTTAGAATTTTCATTATATTGAGCTAACCTTGAATTCCCAGTATAAAACTGGACATACGTAGGACATAGCCTTTTTAATACATTGTTGTAGACTATTTGCTAGTGTTTCATTTCAGATTTTTGTACCAGTATTCCTTAGGGCTATCAATAATGATTTCAGACAAGGCTACAGGAAAAAGTCATACAGTAAAAAGGGAAACTACATTATGCTAAAAGGCACCCTAGATAATAAACAATACCAATTATATGTATATAATACTATATATGTTTTATATATATATACACCTAAATATGTATATATAAATTGTCTATATTTACATATAATAGCACAGCATTGCATCTAAATACTTAAAGAAAAAGCTAATTAATCTTCAAGGAAAACCATATAGCAAAGTTTTAATAATGGGAAGACTCAATGTATCCCTTTCAGAGTTCAACAAACCTAACAAAAAGACAAACAAGAAAAAAGTTGACCTGAGTTAAAATTTAGAAAACCTAGAAAAGATAAATCTCTAGTAATTACTAAATTGAAGCAAAAAGGATTTTACATGTTGTTCAATTATATATGAATACTGACCTTGTATTAGAACACAGAAATGTCACAGACAAATGCAGATAAGGCTAAAATTTAAATATATCTTTTTCTGACCTCTGCTATAAAAATTATATTCAGTAAAGAACCTTTGAAGAAAGAATGAAAAAATAATTGGAGACTAAATAATACTTGAAGCGGTGTGTCACTTACTGCCTGTGTGACCCTGGACAAGTCACTTAACTCCTATTGCCTAGAAAAAAATGTGGTAGGTCAAAAAGCTAATCACAGAAACAATGGAAAACTTCATTAAATGAAATGAAAACAAAGCAACAATTGATCAAAACTTATGGGAAACACCTAAGGTATTCATTATTGCAAAATTTATATCTCTAAATGCTTTAATAAATAATAAAAAATCAATGAATTAGACAGGCAACTAAAAAGAAACCTAGAAAATCAACAAACCACCCTCCCCATTAAATACCAAAATAGAAAATCTGAAAACCAAAGAATAGATTGACAAAATTGAAAGCAACAACCAGTTTGAATTGATAAATAAAACTAGGATGATTAAAAATTATTTATAATATTTCTGAAAGATGGAATGGGCAGGAGGTTTGAATCAGTCTAATTTAAGAGTGGTATCTAAACCACCTTACCTTATTTTATCCTGGGTACTTTGACTAGGTGAGGCCACATCTCAATCAAATCAGAGGCATTAAAGTAAGTCTGAAAAGCCTTGAAAGACATTGTGTGAAGTGAAATAACTCCATATAGGAAGTTTGTTCCAGGTGTATAAAGGATTTTGTGGTGTTCTCTGTGTCCTGTACAAAACATTGAGTTAGTGCAAATCTTGGAGTTCCAGCAAGTAGAACACATGTGCCTTTCTACCAAAAACTCCTCAGAAGGAACTTCCTGGGGTGGGGTGTAGGAGGGACCTGTGCTTTGGCTGTGGGTTGCTTTCCTCCACCTCTTTGGCTGGAAGAGGACCTCATGAACATCAAAGGGTCTGGAGAATTTTGGACATCACTTCTTCCCCTTAACATCATAGTATAATCCTCCCTAACGTAGCAATGGCTTGCAACAGTGTCTCCATTGCGGGTCAAGGACAAACGACACACAGATCCACTATGAATAAGGGGTGTTTTGTGAGCATCTCACAAATGGGAGAAAGGGACTTTTAGCAATTAGGAAGTGTTACCCCTTTGCTATATGTGCTCTCTAAACTTGAGTCTAGTTTCCCTGGACTTTATGTATTTGTGGGAGAGCGTGTCATAGACTTTTGGAGGAAGGTTTTGTACCAACTGTTCTTACCATAGTTCTAAAATCTGTTTAAGGTTGGCTGACTAAATTTCTTCTCAAATGATAATCTTGAGAAACTCACCAGTGACTCCCTAGGAAAAAAATCTCCAGGGCCAGATGGATTTACAAGCAAATTCTATCAAACATTTAAAGAACAATTAATTCCAATACTATAGGGACTATTTGGGAAAATAGGTAAAGAAGGAGTCTTAGCAAATTCTTTTTATGATATAAATATGGTGCTGATACCTAAACCAGGAAGAGTCAAAACAGAGAAAGAAAATTATAGACCAATTTCTCTAATGAATATAGATGCAAAAATTTTAAACAAAATATTAGCAAACAGATTACAGCAACTTATGACAAGAATAATGCACTATGACCAGATAGGATTTATACCAGGAATGTAGAGCTGGTTCAATATTAGGAAAACTATAAGCATAATTGATCATATCAACACCGAAACTAACAGAAACCACATGATCATCTCAATAGATGCAGAAAAAGCTTTAATACAAGACCCATTCCTATTAAAAACACTAGAGAGCATAGGTATAAATGGAGTCTTCCTTAAAATAATAAATAGCATCTACCTAAAACCTTCAGCAAGCATTATATGTAATGGGGACAAGCTAGAAGCGTTTCCAATAAGATTGGGGGTGAAACAAGGATGTCCATTATCACCACTGTTATTCAATATCGTACTGGAAACGTTAGCTGTAGCAATAGGAGAAGAAAAAGAAAATGAAGCTATTAGAATAGGCAAAGAAGAAACAAAGCTATCACTTTTTGCAGAAGATATACTTAGAGAATCCTAGAGAATCAAATGAAAAACTACTTGAAATAATAAACAACTTTAGCAAAGTTGCAGGCTATAAAATAAACCCACATAAATCATCGGCATTTCTATATATTACCAACAAAGCCCAACAGCAAGAGATAGAAAAAGGAATTCCATTTAAACTTACTGTAGACATTATAAAATATTTAGGAGTCTACCTCCCAAAACAAGCCCAGGAACTATATGAACACAATTACAAAACTTTTCACACAAATAAAGTCAGATCTAAATAACTGGAAAAGCAACAGTTGCTCATGGGTAGGCCGAGTTAATATAATGAAAATGACACTTCTACCTAAGCTAATTTACTTATTCAGTGCCGTACCAATCAAACTACCAAAAAATTATTTTATAGAGTTAGAAAAAATAATAACAAGATTCATTTGGAAGAACAAAAGGTCCATAATATCAAGGGAACTAATGAAAAGAAATGCAGTGGAAGGTGACCTAGAAATTCCAGATCTTAAATTGTATTATAAAGCAGCAATCATCAAAACTGCTTGGTACTGGCTAAGAAATAGAGTGATGGATCAGTGGAGTAGGTTAAATATACAAGACACAATAGTCAATGACTATAGTAATCTATTATTTGATAAACCCAAAGACCCCAGCTTCTGGGATAAGAACCCACTTTTTAAAAAAAAAAGAGCTGCTGGGAGAAACTCAACAGTGGGGGCTTGAGCTAACAGCATTATAGAATCACTTCTGGTTAGGGTACTCCTAGAACTCTGAAGGGAGATGTTGGCTAGCTCTGGGACCTGAGACTCATCTGTGACAATGAGAGTTGAGATAAGGATCTTCACAGCTTATATGGGCTACATAACAAGTTTTTATTAAGTGCCTACTGTGTGCTCAGTGAGCCAGGGATAGAGAACACAAGTACAAAGAGTGAAATGCATTTTTCTCAAAAGGAACTTATATTCTAATGGGGAAGACAAGAAGCTCATATATAAATATATATATATATAGCATAAATTTAAAGTGAACAAATACTTATACCAACTAGTTCAATAAAAGGAAGTCTGCGAAGGAGAGCTCTAGCAGTTGGGGGGATCAGGAAAGGAGTCATGTAGAAGATGGTGCTTGAACTGCATCTTAAAGGAAGATAGGTACAAAGCAGATATGACGAATGAGTAAAATCTAGGGAACTAGGGGGCACAGTGGAGAGAGTACTGGACTTGGATCCAGGAAGACCTGAGTTCAAATCCAGCCTCAGATATTTACTGGCTATGTGACCCTGGGTGAGTCACTTAACCTCTGCCTGCCTATGCATACTAATAACACCACCTCCCAGGAGTGTCATGAGTATAAAATGAGATATGTATATGTATAAAGCCCTCTGGAAATCTTAAAGCACTATATTCCTGATAAGTATCATCGTGAATATTATTATTCCAAGATTGTAGGTTGGACCAGTGCAAAAGCAGGAAATGAAGGTTAGTGTATGAGGAAAAGAGAGAAAGCCAGTTTGGCCTTCACCACAGAATGATGGAGGGAGAGTGATGTTCAATGAGTTTGGAAAGACAGGCTGAGGGGAGGTGGTGAAGAGTTCTAAAAGCTAAACAAAATTCATATTTGATTCTGGAGGCAAGAGGAAGGTCCTGCAGCTGATTGGGCAAGGGGTTCAGATAGTCAGATCTGAGCTTAAGCAAAATTAATTTGGACTGGCATGAGGAGAGACCAGTCAGGGAGAATTAAAAGGCTGTTGCAGTAAAATAGGTGAGAAGTGATGAAAGATTAGAATCAAGTGATAGCTGTGGGTGTAGGGGAAGTGTCAGATGTGAGAGATGTTGTGGAAGAGGAGATGTCGAGATTTGGTAATGATTGAATATATAGTATGAGAGAGAATTATGAGTGGAGGATAATGCTCAGCTTATGAGCCTGAGACACCAGCAACATGATGGTGCCTTTGAAAGAAAAAGGGAAGTTTGGAAGAGGGATCGAAGTTGGAGAAAAGATACGCATTCAATTTTGGACCTGGTGGGATTGCAATGTCTCTGGGACATGCCAAATAGGCAGTTGGTGAAGGGGGATCACATCTACACCGATCTCTTTACAATTCCTCAAACTCCCATCTTCATGTCTTTGTACTGGCTGTCCCCATGCCTGGAATCTCCAGAGAGAAGAGAAAACCCAATGTCAGATGAAGCAGATAGGTCAAGAAGGGTAATGACTGAGGTCAGGTTTGGTAATTAAGAGATCATTGACAACTTCGGAGAAAATAGCTTCAATTGGGTGATGGGGTCAGAAGCCAGAATACGAATCATTGAGGAATTGTAAAGGAAGAAGAAGCAGTAAGTGGAAACAGATTTTTCAAGGGTTTGGCTTAGAAAAGGAGACCCACCAAATGATAGCTTGAGATGATGCTAGAGTCTGGAGAAGACTCTTTTAAGGGTTGGGGAGACATGGGCACTCTTGGAGGCAGTATGGAAGGAACCAAACTGAAGAGGGGATGGGGAATGATTCAGTATAAAATCTTCTCAAGAAGACAGGAGGAGATGAGATCAAGTGCATAGATAGGGGGTTTGGCCTTGTCAAGAGAAGGACATCTTTTTTGTCAGAGACTGGGGAAAAGGAAGCAAGCAGAAGGCAGGATATGGGGGGGGGGGTGTTCCGAGAGGAAGAGAATAGTAGAAGGGAGCTCGTGTTGATTGGCCTAAATTTTCTAAGTAAAAGCTGAGAGGAGAGGAGGGGAAGGTTTGGAATAGCTTTTGTGGGGAGTGTAATAGGGAATCGATGAAGGTGGACTAAAGAGACTGCCTTGCTACATACAGCAAGGGCTCAGTTGATGTTACATCAAATGTACGGGTAATATGCCCAGTCAGCATGAATGTGAGACTTCCTCGGCCTATTTTGAGTTCAGCAGCTGGTGAGAAGGAATGGAGGAGACAGATGGGAGTAATCCGGGACTGACCTTTGGCAGGAGATGAATGGTCATAGGACAAGGGGGTGGGGGTTTGAGAGCAGAAGACAGTGCAGAGTTAGAAGGACTCACTGTCACTGATGATGGGCCTGATGAGGAAGAAGTTTCACATCGCCCCTCTCTGTGTTCTCCATAGATCCTATGGAGCCTCACAGAGCACACATGAAATACGTACTTTCAACCTGACTCCATAGAGAGAAACGCTTTATAAGGACACGTTTCTCAACTGCTTTCCAGCCAGCACAAACTGCTTTTCCCAACATTCAACTTGCCTCTTAAAGATCATGGTTTAAATTCCTGGCCCTGATGCTAGCAGTGTGACCTTTGGACAGGGCAGTTGACTTGGCTGGGCCTCAGTTTTATCCTTTTTAAATTGAAATTAGACGAGATCCTAGTTTCTTCCAGCTCTAAGTCCTGTGCCCTTTGGTGTTTCAGGATTCAGTGACATTTCAGGATGTGGCTGTGGAGTTCACCCGGGAGGAATGGTGCCTCCTGGACTTCTCCCAGAAGGTGCTGTACCTGGACGTGATGCTGGAGATCTCCCAGAACCTGCTTTCCCTGGGTAAGGACAGCGTGCCCTCAGCCCCCCCACCTGCCCGAAGGATTTGGAATGTCCCGTTGCAGGGAGCGCCTCTCATCCCTGCCCACCCATCCCCCTGCCCATCCACACTGCCTGTTGCACAGAGTATCAATAATTTATCAATTTTTAGAGAGCAGAGATTCCCAGTTACTTTCCATCCCAGTTCCCTGTCTTTATTGAAGGTCTTTGCTTTGTCTAATAGGAAGCTGGGAACTTCATTTGTTGCTCTTCAGGTTCTCCCTTGCCTGTTCTAGGGAGTTTCATATGGAAGAAGAAATGGAAATTACAGAGCCTCAGATTTGGAACTGATCTCAGAGGTTATAATAATAATAATAATAATAATAATAATGATAATAATAATGAACAATAGCTTCACTTACATAGTGTTTTAAGATTTGCAAAGCACTTTCCACGTGTTATCTCATTTGATAATCATGGCAACCCTGAAAATTAGCTGCTATTATTATTATTATTCCCATTTTGCAGATATAGAAACTGAGTGTGAGAGTGATTTACCTAGGGTCACATGGTTAGTAAGCATTTGAGGCAGGCTCTGAGCTCTGAAGTCTTCCTGACCTCCACATGTGGCATTCTATTACACCTCCTATGTGCTTCTGATTATCTGGTCTAATCTTTTTCTGTAGCATCCTTAAAAAATGGTCACCCAGATTTTGCTTAAAGTGCAGTGTCCTTGTTCTTCCTTGATGTTTCTTCTGAAGTCCAATGCTAATGGTAGGATGCCCTGTATTCTATCCAAACCTAAATAAGAATGAATGCCCTCTATAATATGATGACAGGTGGTCAGTTGCTCTTCTGCTGGAGACAAAGAGCCAATTTACTGTTTTCCAGTTATCCATATGCCCTTTGCAGACTCCTATCCAATAACTCCTAACAACACCCTATAGATCCCCTGGGTGTCCTTGGCATCACCCACTGGCCCTTCCTAGCACAGCCCCTTTCCCTGAAGAGAAATGTATTCTAAGGTTCTCTCTATCCTCAGCCCTTCCTTATTTGCCTGAGTAGGGCTACCAGTTCCCAAAGCCAATTGGATCTCCCAGCTGGACCAAAGGAAAGTTCCATGGATACTGGAAAGGCAAGCTCCAGGAGACTTCTGTCCAGGTGAGTACGTGAAATTATAAAGAAAAGAACTGTTATCTAGGGAATCCAAAGTGTCAAAATAATCCTGGCTGTACTTTTGATGTGTTGGTTGGAGAACTCTTGTTGAAGTCATCGAGGCCGGTTAAGATGAGGCCATCACTGATGTTAAGTGGCATGCTCTTCCTCTTTTACAATGCTCTTACTTAAAAAGATAGGGGAGGGAAAGTGAAAGGGAGGAAATTCAATTCAATAAACATTTATTAAGTGCCCACTATGTGTCAGGCCCTGTGCTAAGCATTGGAGATACAAATAAGAAAATGAAATTTTCTACCCTTAAGGAGTTTGCAATCTAATGGAAGAAAAAAATACAAAAAAGGAAGCTGAAAAGGGAGGGGGGGGGTCCTGTTGGTAGGAGAATGATGTTGGGAGTCTGAACCAAGCAGAGTCACTGATGGAAAATATTACCTGGAAAGTTCTGAACCCTCTGGAACAGAAGACTTTGGGAGGAACTTATGCTCAGCCCTCCCACCTTCCAAAAAGAGGAAAGAGGTAACTGGAGGATCTGGGAAGGTATTGACTAAGTCATTAAAAGCTGAGTCACTCTGCCTGGTGATGAGATTTCAGGTGATCAGCTTACCCTGGGGAAAGCATGATGCTCCAAGCTTAGCAAAAAATTGAGAGTAAAAAGTACAACAGGATAGCATAGAGGGAAGTATGCATTTATTGCTAATAACTTTTAAAACAAATTTTATTGATATATCTTATATCAATAAACTGTTTTATGTTTTTTTTTGTATACACACATATATAACCTAAATTTCTTCCAATATCCCTTCCCTTCCTCATTCACCAAGAGCTATCATTCCATATAACAAATAATATTTTTAAGGAAAAAGAGAGAAAAAGAAAAAAATTTCAGCAAAACTGATATAAAAATATCTTTAAAAAAGTCTGAAAATGTATGCAATGTTCCACACCCATGGACCTCCCACCTCTGTAGAGCTTTGGAGTAGGGATGTCTTCTCATAACTCTTCTTTGACACCATGCTTGGTCTTTGTAATTCTTCAGTGTTGCCTTTCAGTTGTTTTGTGATGGTTGTTCTTTCCCTTACGTTGTTGTAGTCATTGTGGAGGTTATGTTCTTGGTTCTGCTAACTTCACTCTGTATCAGTTCATGTGAACCTTTTCATGCTTCCTTCTTCATATCTGGTACCTTAGTAGTATTCCATTTCACTCATGTATCACAATTTGTTTAGCTGTTCCCCAATTAATGGGCATCTACTTTGTTTCCAATTCTTTTGCTACCAAAAAAAGTGATGCTATAAATATTTTAGTAGATCAGGGGATTTTCTACTTACATGTAACGTCTTTGGGGTAGAAGAAGCCTAGTACCAGTGCCTCTGTGTCAAAAGGGATAGATATTTTAGTCATTTAATTTGCGTAATTTCAAATTGCTTTCCAAAATGGTTGTATTAATTCACACCCTGACAACAATCATTAGTTTGCCCATATTCTTGCAAGCCCTACAACATTGATTATTCCCATCTTTTGTCATATTTGACAGTTTACAGGATGTGAGGTGAAATCTCAGGATTGCTTTAATTTCCATTTCTTCTTGTTAGTGATTTGGAGCATTCTTTAACGTGCTTATTAATAGTTTGGAATTCTTCTTTTGAGACCTGTTTGACCATATCCTTTGACCACTTATCTATTGGGGAAAGACTTGGTTTTTACACACACACACACACACACACACACACTTTGTTATCTATATATCTTGGATACCAAACCCTTATATGAGAAATTGGCTCCATCAGTAGTTAAAGGAGATGGAGGAAGATTGCATGCTTGCAGCATAGCTATTCCCATGAGATCAAAGGGTCAATATATTACTTGTGACTAGAGATAAAGAATAGGGCAGAATGTACTTGAACAGTTAGAGTTCTTTATAACAATTAAAGTCTTTTGTAGCAATTAAATGTCGAGAGAAGATACTGACACAAACCAGCTATTTCAGATGGACACTGCATTTCATAATGGGATTTTACATAGCAAAATATTGAACTACAACAACATGGAGTTGGTTATGTCAACTCTTAACAGACTACTCTTATCTCATAAAACTCCACTTTTAATGAAAATAACAAAATCAAATCAAGATCCTAAATCGTCCAATCTCTGGAAAGTAGCCACAAAGGAACCCCCAAAGAAAAAGATGCCCAGTCCTGAAGGATTCACAGAAGTCTGTCAAACTTTTAAAAAATTAATACATACTACACAAATTATTTTAAAAAACTGAGAAAGAAAGCACTCTACCAGACACTTTCTGTGAGACAAATATTATTCTAATGCCTAACCCAGGAAGAGACAGAGAAATATAGACCAATCTCATTAATGAATATTGATTACAAATTTCTAAATAAAATCCTGGCAGACTATAGTAATTTTTTTGAGGTCACACAAGTGGCTGTTTATTCAAAATCTTTCAGTATAGGGCTTTTTTCTCCCTTCTCCATTATATTATTCTGTCTCTCTGGAAAGGCATGAGAAGTGGATAGGGGCATGGAGGCTGGGGCTTAACCCTTAGAACACCCCAGTCATCCATGGCTCAGCCTCTGCCTCTTGGGTAAGGTCACGGATCAGGATGGGGGCTTTCTCTTGGCTCCCAGAGTCTTTGTAGCTGGCACCTGTGACAAGGGGCCATCAGAAATATCAGGCCCCCAATTCAACAGACTATAGCAATTTATCCAAGAAATTGTTCATTATGAACATTCACAACTGTTAATATGAACACCAGCAGAATTCCTCCAGAAAAAGAAAGAGGATAATAGAATGGCATAGCTTCTAAATGCTCAAAGAAAAAGTTCACCAACTTATAGAGAGAAATGGGAAACAAAAGTATAATAGTGAGTGATTTCAATGTACTCCTTTCAGACCAATGTAAATCTAATAAAAATATGAACAATAAAGAAGTTAAGGGCCTGAATAAAATTTTAGAGATGTTAGCTATAATAAACGTCTGGCAATTACTAAAAGGAAAAAGAGGTATATACATATTTCTAAGTACATCAACTCTATTTTTAAATTTTTTAAAATTAAAAATAATTAATTTTTTAACTTTCAACATTCATTTCCATAAGCTTTTGAGTTTTATATTTTCTCCCCCTCCCTCTCCACCTCCTTTCCCAAGATGACATGCAATCTGATATAGGCTCTACATATACATTCCTATTAAACATATTTTCAGATTAGTCATGTAAAGAAGAATTACAACCAATAGGAGGAACCACGAGAAAGAAGAAACAAAACAAAATAAAGAAGAAAAAAAGAGCAAATAGTATGCTTCGATTTGCATTCAAACTCCATAATTATTTCTGTGATGTAGATAGCATCTTCTCTCATGAGGCTTTTGGAGATGTCTTAGATCCTTGCATTGCTGAGAAGATATAAATCTATCAAAGTTAGTCATTGTACAACATGGCTGTTACTGTGTACAATGTTCTCCTGGTTCTGTTCACTTCACTCAGCATCAGTGCATACAAGTCTTTCCAGGTTTTTCTGAAGTCTGCTTGCTCATCATTTCTTACAGCGTAATAGTATTCCATTACATTCATATACCACAACTTGTTCAGCTATTCCCCAATTGATGAATATCCCCTCAATTTCCAATTCTTTGCCACCACAGAAAGAGCTGCTACAAATATTTTTGTACATGTGGGCCCTTTTCCCATTTTTATGATCTCTTTGGGATACAGCCCTAGAAGCATCACCTCTATTTTTAAAAGATATTTTAACAGATATCTTTTGTTTTTACATCACCAGAATTTCACCTTTGATTCCTTTTCCTCCCACATCCATGGACACCCTCTCCTCTTCAAAGCAATAGAGTGGAGGTATTTTTTAATATATCTTGTTCTTTATCATTGGATCTTGGACCAAGCTTGGACTGAGTTATTTATCATTTCAACATTAATTTTTTTCTTTGTTAAAATTAATTTTATTTTTTTCCAAGTGTTTATTGTCTCTCTCTCCCAGTTCCTTCTTCAACTAAACAACAACAAAACAAAAGGAAAAGGAGACATTGTAATAAGTGGATATAGTTAAGCCAAGTCAATTTACTCATTGATAATGTCCAAAAATGTGTCCATTTTGAATTCATCACTTCTCCATTAGAAGTTGGGTATCATGTTCACCATCAGCCTTCTAGAATACTGGTTGGTCATTGTATAGATTAGATTTCTAAAATCTTTCAAAGGATTTTTTTTCTGTGTAATGTCATTATATAAATTGTTCTCCTGGCTCTACTCACTTTACTCAGAATTAATTCCAGTTCCATTTGAAATGATCAATTTCTTCTTACGTGGCAGTAATATTTCCTTACTCTAATTATTCACCACAGTTTGTTCAGCTGTTCCCTAATAGCTGGGCACTCTCTTAGTTTCCAGCAGCATTTATTTTTATTTCTTTATGTAATTCTTTCCATTGACATTCTTGTCGTTATGGTGTCTGTTGTCTTCTTGACTCTGCCTACCTCACTTTGCATCATTTCATGGAAGTGTCCCATGCCTCTGTGTATTTATCATATCTGTCATTTCTTATGGCACTTTTAAATTTCATTATTTTGGTTCACCACAATTTGTTTAACCATTCCCCAGTTGATGGGCACATACTTTGTTTTCATTCTTTGCTACCACAAAATATGCTGCTATAATAATGATAATAGTTAGCAATTACATATACTTTAAACTTTTACCAAATACTTTACATTTTATCTCACTTGATTCTCACATCAATCTTTTCAGGTTGGTACTATTGTTTTCCCATTTCACAGGTGATGAAATTGAGACTGGGAGAGGTTAAGTGACTTGTCAGGGTCATACAAGTTAATAAGTATCTGAGGCAGGATTTGAACCCAAGTCTTCCTGACTCCAAGTCCAATACTCTATACATTATGCCATCTAGCTACTATACATATTTTGAATTATATAGAATCTTCCTTTTTGTTAGTGATGCCCTTGGAGTATGTGCCTAGTAGTGGAATCTCTGGGTCAAAGGATTTGGACATTTTAGCCACTTTATCTGTTTTCATATTGTTTTCCTGAATGGTTATTCACAGGTCCACCAGCAACATATGTGTGCCTGTCTTTCCACAACCCCTCATTAACTGATAATAGTAATTATCATTATTGTAATTATTATATTAGATAACATTTATATGATACATACTACGTGCCAGGTACTCTGCTCAACATTTTATAATTTTCTCATTTGATCATCACAACAGCCTGGGGAGGTAGGGGCTATTATTATCCCCATTTTACTAATGAGGAGACTGAGGCAGAGAGAGGTTGTGACTTGCCAAGGGTCACATAGCTAGTAAATGTTTGAGGTCAGATTTGAACTTAGGTCTTCCTGACTCCAGGCCCAGTACTCTGGCCACTGCAATACCTAGCTGCCCTTCTTTTGTCATCTTTGGCATGACATTTTAACAAAAATTGGCCATGTATTTGGATACAAAAACCTCTAGAAAACAGAAATAGTAAACATATGCTTTATTAACAACAGTATAATAAAAAAGTGTGTTCAATAAAAGACCTTTTAAAAAAAGAATAAAAATTAATTAGAAACTAAATATTTGAATCCAAAAGAGACAAAAAGGAAAATTCATAAGAATTTAAGCTGTAATAAAGGAAAGTACCAGAAACTACATTGCCAAATTATATGTAAACAAAATCCAAATATAGAAAAATAGCTTAATCTGTAAATGAGCTCCTAATGGGATGAGGGAGAGGACTCAGCATCACAAATTCTATCAAATGTGCAAAGACCAATTAATCCAATATTGTGTAAAAGCCAAAAATAGGGAAAGAAGAGATCTTACCAAAATCATTTTATGATAAAAATCTGGTCTTGAAACCTAAGCCAGGGAGAGAAAAATCAGAGAAAGAAAACTACAGACCAATCTCTCCGATGAATATTAATGCAAAAATATTATATAAGATATTAACAAAGGATCTACAATAACATATTAAGAAGATGATAGACCATGACTAGATTGGATTTGTAACAATGTAGGGGTGGTTCACTATGAGGAAAACTATAAAAAATAAGTAAACCATGTATCTTATTAGATGCTTAAAAAGCTTTGTAGAGGACAGAAATTCCATTCAAAGTAGCTACAAAATATATAAAATATTTCAGAATTAGCTACCGAGACTCACACAGATACTCTGAATATAACAATGAAACACTAAAAGCAGAAAAAAAGATTGATCTCACACTATTCTTCTGGGACCTCTCTTCCCCGTGATCTCTCAAAGCCTTTAATCATAACTGTAACTCTTTTTAATGCCACATAATAGAATTATCTTGGACCTAGATATTTATTTTGTTTATTTATTTCCCATTTAACGAGCATTTGCCCTCTCTCCCACTGAACTTGCCCCTCCGTCCACTGGAAAAAGACAAAGACAATCTCTGTAACAAATACACAGTCAACCAAAACAAATTTCCTCAATAGTCATGTGCTTATGTGTGTCTCACAATGTGTATCTCACGTTGAATGTCTAGTCCATCACCTCTCTGTTAGGAGGTGGGCAGCATTCTAAATCATCCGTCCTTTGGAGTCGTGATCAATCATGGTGTTGACTAGAGTCTTTTGACATTATTTTTCAATGTTATTGATGTAGTAGAAGTTGTTGTTCTCAGGAAATCTATATATTTCTGCTCACTTCACTCATCAGTTCAAAGTGAAATTCAAAAGACACCCAATCCAATCACCCCTTCCTCATTTGTATAGACTTCTATTTGTACCCCCTCATTATGTGATATAACTCTCCCCATTTCTCCACTTTTCTTTCTTAGTATATCTCCTCCCACCCCTTTCATTTCTCCCTTTAAGATCAACAAAATATAGCAAAAGTCATTCTGAGGCTCTCTGTCTTTTTTGGCTTCCAATCTGAACTCTCATTAACTTATAGTTCTCAAGGGATGCTTGTGTCCTCTCTTTCCCGTCTCATTAGAATACGAAAACTTCATCTCTATAAAATCTTCCAGTTGCTCACTTGTCTTTACCTTTTTGTTTCTCTTTATTCCAGTGTTTGTATCTAGGAGGTTGTACTTATCTTTGGTATTTTCATCAGGAATGCTTGGAAGTCAATTATACCATTAAAATGGACCTGGAGACACATATAGGTATAGGTATATGTTTGTATGTATTTATGTTTGTTTTTATCTTTTTTTCTCCCTTCAGATGGGGAGACTGGGCCAGGAACCAAAGAGTCTACTCCAAAGCTGAGAATTTCCTATGATTTCAGTTTGAAAGAAATTGGGAGATGTGGTACCAAGGTAAATAAAAAACCAGACAACTGGGAAAGTCATTCTAGACAATTAAAGATTACCTTTAGGCAAACTCCCAGTGCAGGGAGAGATGATGAAGGTAATAATTTTGATCAAAGAGTCAAGAGTCAAAAGTCAACTGTTTTTGTACAACAAAGAGTTCTTAAACAAAGGAGTCACAAAGAATGTGATATAACTGGAAATGGCTTTAGACAATATTCAGATTTAATTCAGTGCAAGAAAGTCACCTCAGAGACAGGATATTCTAAGTATAATGAATTTGAAGAGCACGTTAATAACCAGTTAGAGCTTATTCAGCACCGTGGGAAGCATATTGGAATGAAAGCTCTACAGTGTAATGAATCAGAGACAGTCTTCAGTTTGAACTCAGACCATACAAGAAAACAGAAAATTCCTACTGGGGAAATGCCTCATAGATATAATGAGTGTGGGGAACCCTTTGGCCAAAACACAAACCTTATTTACTATCAGAACATTCGTACTGGTGAGAAGCCCTATCAATGTCATGATTGTGCGAAGGCCTTCAACCAGAAGTCTCATCTTATTGTACATCAGAGAATTCATACTGGAGAGAAGCCCTATAACTGCAATGAATGCGGTAAAGCCTTCAGTCAGAGGTCACACCTCACTGTACACAACAGAATTCATACTGGAGAGAAGCCTCACAAGTGTAATCATTGTGGAAAGGCTTTCAGAACAAGATCCACTCTTGTTGTGCATCAGAGAATTCACAGTGAAGAAATGCCTTATAAATGTAATGAATGTGGGAAGACCTTTAGCCACAGTAGAGCTCTTCTGAGACATCAGAATAATCATACTGGAGAGAAGCCCTATCAATGTGATGAATGTGGTAAGGCCTTCAGCCAGAGGTCTCACCTTGCTGTTCACCAGAGAATTCACACCAGAGAGAAACCTCATGGGTGTCATGAATGTGGTAAAGCTTTTAGTGAACATTCATCTCTTATCTGCCATCAGAGAATTCACACTGGAGAGAAACCTTATGAATGTCATCAATGTGGAAAAGCTTTCAGAACAAGCTCTTACCTTGCTGTACATCAGAGAATGCATAGCGACGAAATGCCTTATAAATGTCATGAGTGTGGGAAGACGTTCAGCCGCAGTAATGACCTTCTTAGACATCAGAATGATCACACTGGAGAGAAGCCCTACAAATGTAATGAATGTGGGAAGACCTTTAGCCAGAGCTCATCCCTCATTAAACATCAGAAGATTCATACTGGAGAGAAACCTCATGAATGTCATGAATGTGGTAAGGCTTTCAGAGGTCATTCATCCCTTATTTGTCATCAGAGAATTCATACTGGAGAGAGACCTTATGAATGCCATCAATGTGGAAAAGCTTTCAGAACGAGATCTAACCTTGCTGTCCATCAGAGAATTCATACCGGAGAGAAGCCCTATAAATGTGATGAATGTGGAAAGGCCTTTAGCCAGAGCTCCAACCTTGCTGTACATCAGAAAAGTCATTCTGCTTTGAAATCTCATGGATCTAATTAATGTGTACTTGCCTTTTGCTATGTAACATAGACCTGATAAGATATCAGAAAATTTACCTTGAAGATATAGTCATAAAAAATTTAATGATCTTTTCTCTGAATTCCTTGGTTCATTAATTCTTACTATCTAAAAATATTCCATGACATTCATATATGGTTTCTTTAGCCTTTCCCCAATTGACTAGCCCCTTCTTTGTTTGAAATTCTTTGCTACCAAAAAAATTGCTGCTTTGAGTAAGTTGGTATATATCAGACTTCCCCCCTCTCTCAATTTTTCTGTGAGGAATGAGCCTAGTAGTAGAGTCACTAAGCCGAAGGGTACAGACCAGTTTGCTCTATTTTGGGGGGAAATTTCAAATTAATCTTCAAAATTGTTGGACCAGTTCATTTCTCCATAAAAATTGTATTTGTGTGTCCATTTTCATTTAGCCTCTCCAATACTGAGAGGCAGCTAGGTGGTGCAATGGATAGAACACTGGGCTCAGAATCAGGAAGACTGATCTTCGTGAGTTCAAATCTGGCCTCAGACATTTTCTAGCAGTGTGATCCTGGGCAAGTCACTTAACCCTGTTTGCCTCAGTTCTTCATCTGTAAAATGAACTGGAGAAGGAAATGGCAAAACACTCCAGTATCTTTTCCAAGAAAACCCTAAAATAGGGTTACAAAGAGTCAGACACAATGGAACAATAACTACAATATTGATGTTTTCCTTTTGAGGGGTTCATTTTTGGCCATTTGCAAAGTTTGAGGTAAAATCCCAGAGCTATTTTGATATTCATTTCTCTTAGTATTTGGAGAATTTTTATGCGTTATTATTTGCAGTTTGAAATTCTTTTGCAAGCTCTTTCTTTCCTTTGATAACTCATCCATTGGGCAATGGCTCTTGGTGCTGTATCTTAGTGTTAGTTCTCTTAGTCGTTGGCATTTTACTGGTGATAATTGGTTACAAATATTTTCCCCACTCTATTGTTTTTCTTCCTCATGTCTTTACTGGTTATATTTACGCAGATCTTTTAAATCTTATGTAGTTAAAATTACTATTTTTATTTTTAAAAATCATCTCTATCCTTTGTTGTGTTAAGAACTCTTACTCATTCAGAGTATTGAATAGTATGTAAGCTTTTTCTTTTTGAAGTTTTTATGATGTACCTTTTGTAGTCAGGTCAGTTTAGGTGGTTTAAGGTGTAAGAGGTGAGACTAAATTGCTTTCCAGCAGTCTCAGCAATGACTGTTAAAAAAGGTGTGTAGGGGGGAATCTCTTAGTAATTTACAATCTTGAGTTTGTCAAATAGTAAACTCCTATTTTCACATCCTTCTCCATCTTGCTTGACTGGTCTGTTCTAATGAATTTTGTATGAACTTATACAGAGCAAAATAAACAGAATCACGAGAACAATATCCACGAGATTACAATGATGTATAAGGTGGGGTGGGGAGGGTATCAGATCAACCTCCTTATCTCAATAGGACAAAAAGGTTGATCACATACATATACCCTCACACAAAATGACCTTAGTGTAGAAAGACATCAAAATCAATGGAAAAAAGCAGAGATAGGGAGAGGAGATTTAATAGAGAGGATAATAGGGGGAAAGAATAATAGACAAAAAAATAAATTTTGGAGGAAGGATCCTGAAGGGAGTATTAAAAAGAAAAACAGAAAAGCAAAGATCTGAAACCAAGAAGGTGTCTATCAATTGATAATATATGAGTCATGGTATATAAATTATTGGAATATTATTTTGTCATAAGACATGATGAAAGGGGCAGCTATGGAGCACAGTGGATAGAGCACTGGCCCTGGAGTCAGGAGGACCTGAGTTCAAATCTGGCCTCAGACACTTGACACTTACTAGCTGTGTGACCCTGGGCAAGTCACTTAACCCCAATTGCTTCACCAAAAAAAAATTATTTATTAGGGGCAGCTAGGTGGCGCAGTGGATAGAGCATCAGCCCTGGATTCAGGAGGACCTGAGTTCAAATGTGGCCTCAGACACATAACACTTACTAGCTGTGTCACCCTGGGTGAGTCACTTAACCCCATTGCCTAGCCAAAAAAAAAAAAAAAAGACATGATGAAAGATATTGCTCCAGGAAAAAAAAAACTTAAGAAAACTTACATATGAACTGATGCAGAGAAAAGTGAGAATGGCAATATTATAAAGAAAAAACAACTTTGAAAGACTTCAGAATTCTAAGAATCCAATGACCAACTACAATTCCAAAAGACCAATGATGAAGTATGCTACCCATCTCCTGATAGAGAAGTGATGACTCAAGATACATAAGGAAATATAGTATTTTGGACTTGACTAATGGGGGGATTTGTTTTGCTTGACTATACATTTGTTACAAGGGTTTTGTTTTATTTTCCAATGGGAGGAAGAGGAAATGAATGCTTATTATTTGTAAAACATAAAATTAAAAATAAAGTGTTCATCTAGAGAAAAATAAAAAAATAGCCAAAGGATAAAGATGTAAGTAGAATTAAAAAAATAGAAATGAGAGAAAGTACAGCCAGTATTGGAGAGTATAACCATGGTGATAGTGTCATAAGGGCTAATAGATGGGGAAAAAAAGGATGAAAAGGAATTTATTCATGATAAAATAGAAATTCCAAAGGCTATAGTGGAAGGGAAGTGTTGAGTTGGCTTAGGCCATGGGTGAGATTGGGTTGATGGGAATAGGGATGACAGAACATAAGGAGGGGCTAGGGATAGTTTTCTCTTAAGTGGCCATTGATTAATTATTACAGGGATAGGGAGAAAATAAGGAGAAAGCATAATGTAATAATGAGTTGTAGGAGGGTAGGGAAACTCACAGTCTCCGAAGGTGTTGCCTAGCTTTGGTCTATTGTTTCAGCAGGGCGGCTGGTGCAGGGGGTGTTATTTTTGTGGGGTTAGGTGACTGATGGTGGCCGGCCCCCTGAGCTGACAGGACTCAGTTGGATCAGGGCTGAACCTACCAAATGCAGCTGACTCTGATGTCTCTTCCTGAGAGGATGATAACTCCTTCAGACTTGTAGCAAGAAGAATGCATGGAGAATAATGGGAGAGGAGGCAGAAGAGAGGAATTAAGATGGGAGGAAGAGAAGAGGAGAGGCCTCAGCACAATATGGAAAGAGGCTCCCATTAAAGAGTATTCTCATAAAAGGTGTGATAGATATCTGCCCTGGAAGATTGAGACTTTACAATAGGTTGAATGTGGGGGCAGATGGTACAGTGGGAAACTACCTTCTCTGAGAGTGTTGGACCATCATAGAAAACGTCCTGTCTCAGGAGAAGGAAAATGAAAGCTCACAGAAGCTTTAACTCAATGAGGAACATGAAGATCGAGAAAAGAATAACTAAGGTTATGATTTTGTTGTTGTTGAGTCATTTCCATCATGTCTGGCTCTTTGAGACCCCATTTGGAGTTTTCTTGGCAAAGATACTGGAGTGGTTTGTCATTTCTTTCTCCAGTTCATTTTACAAATGAGGAAACTGAGGCAAACAGGGTTAATTGACTTGCCCAAGGCCATACAGCTAGTAAGTATCTGAGGCTAGATCTGAGCTCAGATTTTCCTGACTCCAGGCCTGGCTCTCTATCCACTGGGCCACCTAACTGCCAAAGATATGGAGGATAAATCAGACTATAGGAGTTAATATTTGGCAGGAAGGAAATAGGCTCAATGAAGGGAACTAAACAAAGATTAGAAAAAATGTTAAAAAAAGACCCAGAAGAAAACAATGATAATAAACGAAAGAAGTAGGAAGGGATCAGAAATGAGAGGGTTTTATAATAATCACTTAACAGAGAGGAGAAATGGGGAAGATACAGGTAACTAACTAAATAAAAGCAAGTGAAAATTTAAGTAAAACCCCAAAACTAGAGGAAGGATTCTAAAAAAACAAAACAACAACCCCCCCAAAAAACCCAAGATGACAGAGGCAGGGAAGAGTCTGTGGTGCTGGCATTGCATTAAAATAGTTTAAGAAAAATATAGGGACAAAGAAATGGTTTAAAAGTGGAAGGGGGAAATAAATTTTTTTTATTTTTGGGGGAGGAAATAATTTTAAAACAATATTAGAAACAAAAATGGAAACGCAAACCTAAGTCTCATGTTTTTGAATGTGAGTGTATTAAATAACCCACTAAAGTAAAAGAGAATGGCAGAATGGAGAACAACACTCCATTATCTGCTGCTTATTGGAAACATGTCTGAAAAGCAAAGACACACATAGAATCAAAATTAGAGGCTGGTACAAAATCGAATATGAATCAGGTGAATCCAAAAAAATCAAGCTATTGTTCTAAGAGACGAAAATATAAAATTCTACCATATCAATAGAAATCAACAAGAAAATTACACTATGTTTAAAATAAATCAATAGTAACGTTAAATTCACATGCACTAAATGGTATAGTATTTAAATGCATAAAGCAAAAACTAACTGAACTCCAAAATGACATATATAGTAATAGCTAGAATTTATATAGCACGATATTATTTGCAAAGTATACTAACTGATATGTTAACTGAGCTTCACAACTTCTAACTTATAATATGTTAACTGAAATGTTAACTGATCCTCACAACAATCTTGTAAAGTAGTACTACAATAATAGAAGGAGATGTTACTGTTTGTCTCTGTTTGGCTGTTAAAGTCCTTCATTACCTGACTCTCTCCTAACTTTTCAGTTGTCTTATACCTTATTCTTGTCCACATACTCTTTGAATCCAATGACACTGGTCTCAGTACTGTTCTTCACTCACAGCACTCATATCTCTCAGCTCCAAGTGTTTTCACTGGCTCTCCCCCATACCCTCTTTTCTAATCTGTGCCTCCTGACTTCTCTTACTTCCATCAAGCCTTAGCTAAAGTCCCACCTTCTGCAACAAGCATTTCCCAGGTTTCCTTAATCTTAGTGCCTTTCCTTTGAAATTACCCCAAATTTATCTTGTAAATATCTTGTTTGCACATAGTTGTTTGCATGTTTTCTCTTTATTA